GCGGGGACCCGAGGCGGCGGGGAGCTCACCGCAAGGCTGGAGGCCGGAGGCGGCGGCCGCGGGCGCGCTAGGAGCCGAGACAGCGAGCGAGCGCTCTGCAGCGGGCGGTGGACGCGCTGAAGGTGAGCGAGACCCCGGGGGCAGTCCCCAGTGTCCGGGGGCAACGCCCAGTCCTTTGGAAGACCCGGGGACAATGCCCAAATTTGGGGGAAACTGGGGGCAATGCCCAGTCGTTTTCCTGGACGCGGGAGAAGCACTGGCGCACACGCGGCCGGGCCAAGTGTGTTTGGGGAACACAGGAGAAATTTCCCAAATCCGAGGAGCTCCGGAGACTTCGTAGGAGACGCAGAGGCGCCCAGAACCAGTGCCCGTTGTGTGAGGGATTGGGGTAGCTGCAGGGGACTCCTCGGCGGGGCTAGGAACAATGCCCAGAGATCGGGAACGCAAGTCAGAGACGCCTGATTTGCGGGCGAGAGAACGAAGGTCCCGAAGTGGAGACCCGAGGGAGGCTGCGTTGGTGTGGGGAACGGTAATTAATGAGTAAATTCGAGGCTCCAGCAAAAGAGTCCGAGCCTGCGGATCAGGGAAATTGCTCCGTGCAACTGGGGGAGAAGGGATCTACGTCTAAAATGTGGGGACCCCTGCATCTAGGTCGGCAAGCTTGTGGGAGATTCCCATTTGTGGAGAAGTAGTTTTCGGAGTGGCTCTAGGAAAATTCTCAGTATGGAACTTGGGGAACCCAAGAAGCAGACTGTGTAAAACTGGGGGAAGAAAAACAATGGACGCATTTGGGGGGTCTAGGCAAGTCCTCAGTGTGGTAGAGGAAAGTGGAGACTCATTTCCACAATTTAGAAATTCAAGTTAGTGGCCTGGAGCTTTGCAGCACCGACGGAAGGTAACTTCTGTAATTGTTGTGGCTTCCTGCAAGATTCTCAATATCCTTTAGAGATTCTGGAAATACCGTCTAAATGGGTGCAACCTGAGGTTGATCAGTACATTTGGGGAATGCAGAAAATCAGTGTCCTTTTATGTTTTAGTTTTTAAATTGATTTCAATTAGTTTATTTTTGGTGAACAGGAAAAAATATCCTGTTTCCTGGGCACTGTCTGCATTTGGGGACCCTAGTTAAACATGGCCCAGGTTTTGGGGAACCCGCGGAAATTGTTCAAGAAGTTGATACCTAAATTCCAGGGACCCTGATGAGCAGCAAGGACACTTGTAGGACGCAGGCCTGTAGTGCCTGGGATTTCCAGGACACGGAGATATTTTTCTGGTATCTGGGTAATTTCATTTTGGGAGGCCCGTGGAAAATGGCCTAAATTTAGGGGGACTTGGGGCAAGGGTCATAAAGTCAGAGGACCCATAAATCAATGTTCAGAAAAAGTTCAGTTGTTTTGTGGAGGAGAAAAAGGCAATCTCCGTTAATTTTGGAGGGCTGGGAGACAGTACCTCAATTTGGAGGCCCCAGGAAAATAATTTTTTAAATCTGGGGATCCAAAGAAGTTCTTTAGTTCTTTAGTTCTTTAGTCTTGAGGGTCAGTATCTAAGTTTTAGAGGGAAAGGATTAAGCATTCCTAGGTGGCAGGGCCTGAAGAATCATGTCCGAAGTTGGTGATCTCCAGGGCGTTGGCAGTGTGTGGGAAACCCAGCAAATGTTGATTAAACTTTGGGAGGACTCAGTGGGTGCGCTGGATGCTTTGGGGCCCAAGAAATCAGTGCCTTTCTGTGACCGAAGTGTAATTCTGAATGTTTGAGGGGTCTGCGGGGTAATGCCTAATATTTGAGAGCCCAGCATGTCCAAATAGAGCGGCTTCGGGAAAGGGTCCAGTGTGAGCCTGGGATTTGGGATCAGTTCTGAATTTTAGGAAACTCCGGATTCTTGTCCATAAGCTTGTGGGGCCCAGGGAATTTTTTTTTAATATTCAGAATGTTATGAAGCAGAGAAAATATTCAGACTATTTGGTTACTGGGACACTCGAAAGAGCTTGCTGTAACCAAATATAAGCTCTGTGCAAAAGTTTGTTTTTTGCTTGGTTTGACCCATAGGGACCTGGGAGATTTGTGATTTGGGGGAACCTGCAGGACCCACAGCCACAACTGAGCATAACTGAGCATACCTTGGATAATTGCTCGGTATGCCTTCAGGACCTGGGTGACAGTGCCTAAAGTTCAAGGAAGCTGATCAGTGTCAGGGAAGTTTGGAGAGCCCCGGAAATGAGTGCCCTGTATCTTCGTGACCCACAAAAAAATTGCTCCGTGAGTTTTGGGGACCAGAAATCATCCTTTCAGTTTTGTGGAACACAGGAAAGCAGAGCGCGGTTTGTTTATGATTCCGAAAGGGGATCGGAGTGCTTTGGGTGTAATGCCTACATTCTGATGCACGCATTGGAAGCAGTGTTCAAACTCTGAGGGTCCTGGGGAAATTGCTTAGTGTGTTGGGGGGACCTGGGATTCTTTGTGTAAAATTTAAGGAACCCAGGTTGGGGCCATTAAATTTGTGGAATTCAGCAGATAACGTCCCAAACTCTGGAGAACCAGGGGAACAGGGCTTCAGTGTAGGGGAGTCAGAACAGAGACAGTAAACTTGGAAACCCCTGTAGTCCAAAATTATGGGGACACAGGGAAAGAACTCCACTGATTTGCTAATGACGCCTAAATCCCGGGAAAACTCTGTGCATATTCTGGGGAGTCCGGCAAGTTGGTCCTGACCACAGGAGCCCCGGGTTAACATTTAAAGAAAAGAGGACTGGGCACTGTGTGACTCTGTATGACCTGGGGTAGAGGGTGTAAAACTGTCAAGAGCCTGGGAGAAGACCCCCAGTGAGTCTGGGGTCGCAAGCCACTAGTGTAAGCCTGAGAAAGCCAGTGGGGGCTGATGTGTTTTGAGGTCCCCGGAAATTAATGTCCCCCAAACACGCTTGTGACCTGGAGAAATGTCCAAAGTATTGGGGGGACCTGGGAGCAAGGCTTACATTTGGAAGACCCCAGAAAAAAATACGGTCTGCGTTTGGGAGGAGCCGGGCAGTTGCTCGGTGGGTCGGGGCCCTGGGGATGGCGGAGGCTGAGCTCCCGGGGCCGGGAAG